TCCAAAGAGATATGACCCAGTAGAATGCAGAAATCATCAGACAATATCATTAAAATCAAGTGCAAGTAAAATTTTGCTGAAGATAATTCAAAAATGACTGCAATACTACACTGATAGGGAACTGCCAAGTTTCAGACAAGGATGTGGAACAAGGGATGGATATCACTGCTGATGTCAGATGGATCTTGGCTGAAAGCAGAGGGTACCAGAAAGATGTTTATATGTGCTTTATTGACTATGCAAATGCTTTCTACTGTATGGATCATGACAAGCTATAGACAAAATTGGGGAGAATGAGTATTCCAGAACACTTAAAAACTGTGCTCAAAAGAAACATGTACATAGACCAAGAGGCAGTTGTTCAAACAGAACAAAGGGATACTGAATGGTTTAAAATCAGGAGAGGTATGCACCAAGGTTACATTCTTTCACCATACTTACTCAATCTGTATGCTGAGCAAACTGGATTATATGAAGTTGGATTATATGAAGAACATGGCATCAGGATTGGAGGAAGACTCATTAACAATCTGCAATATGCAGATGATAAACCTTGATTCCTGAAAGCTTAAAAGGACTTAAAATATTTAACTGATGAAGATCAAAGACCACAGCCTTCAGTATGGGTTGTACCTCAATGAAAAGAAAACAAAAATCCTCACCACTGGATCAATAAGTAGCATCATGATAAATGGAGAAAAAATTGAAATTGTCAAAGACTTCACTTTGCTTGGATCAACATTCATGGAACCAACAGTCAAGAAATCAAATAACATACTACATTAGAAAAATCTGCTGCACAGGCCTCTTTAAAGTGCTCAAGAGCAAAGATGTCAGTTTGAGGAATAAGGTATGCCTGACCCCAGGCCAGGATATTTTTGATCACCTCATTTGCATGTGAAAGTAGAACAGTGAATAAGGAAGACCATAGAAGAACTGACACATTTGAATTATTTGTGTTAGAGATGAATATTAAAAGTACCATGGACTGTAGAAGAACAAACAAATCTATGTTGGAAGTGCAGCCAAATGCTCCATAGAAGCCAGAATGGCCAGACTGTGTCTCTCATACTTCAGACCAAAAGTCCCTAAAGAAGGACATCATGCTTGGTAAAGTGATGGGTCAGCGAAAAAGCAGAAGACCCCCAACAAGATGGACTGGCACACAGTGGCAGGAGTAGTGGGCTCAAGTCTAACAATTGTGAAGATGCCACAGGGCCAGGCATGTTGTTGTTGTGAATAAGGGTGCTATGAGTTCTAAGTGATTCAGCAGCCAAAAGTAAAAATGAACAAATCTGTGTCAGAAGTACAGCCAGAATGTTCCTTAGAAGTGAGGATGGTGAGACTTGATCTCACATAGTTTGGACAACAAAAAAGATCCTCAATGAGTTGGACTGACAACATGGTCTACAACAATTGGAAGGATGGCACAGGACCTGGAAGCATGTCATTCTGTTGTATAATGGGTCACTATGAATTGGAACTGGTAACAATGATAACAACAAAAGTGCTGAGTGTTAATGCTGGGTGTTAAAGAAGCCAGTTAATATGAGAGTAAAGGATGATTTTCTAAAAGAGGATAAACTAAGATCCACCAACAAAGAGTTAAGGAAAAGGGAGTTGGGAAGACTGTTCAGGGCAAAGGGACCAGCATGGGCAAAGGACTAAGACTCAGAGGATGGATCATTCATTGAACTAAAAGTTATTCAGTATAAATGGGGCATACAGTATAACCAGAGCTGAGTAATAGCAAGAAATAAGGTTGGCAAGTTAAATAGGGGTCAGATTATGTGGGAACCTTATATATTAGACTTTCTCTCCTGAGAGAGTTCACTGCAGCCAACTTCTCTCTTGATCACTAAACTAACTGGAAAAGACTGATAAGTCAAGGTATAGAAATCAAAGGATATGTAAGAATTAAGTAACTTCTCAATGAAAGCATAATACCTTATTTTTTTAAAAAGAATTAGGTAACTTTCTTTTGAAGGGGGAAGGAGTGGCTAGCTGTAATTTCCTTTACTTAAGAGGACTTCTCAATATAAGGAAGACTGTAGAATTGATGCTTTTGATAGAGGAGAATATTGAAAGTGCCATGGGCTGCCAAAAGAACCAATAGATCCATTCTGGAAGAAGTGCAGCCAGAGTGCTCCTTGGAGGCCAAGATGGCTAAACTTTGTCTCTCATACTTCAGGAGGGACCAGTCGCTGGAGAAGGACATCATGTTTGGTAAAGTGGAGGGTCAGATAAAAAGAGGAAGACCTCCAATAAGATGGATTGGCCAAGCGGCAGTATCGATGGACTCAAGCGTGGCAACAGTAGTGAGGTTGGCCCAGGATCGGGCAGTGTTTCGTTCTGCTGTGCATAAGGTCACTATGAGTTGGACAGACTCAGTGGCATCTAACGACAACAAAGAGGGCTTCTCAATATACCATTAGTTTCCCACAATGTTACTTTGAGTTGCTATCTGAGAAACTGAAATTTCAAAAGAGCTGTTGTAGGTAAAGTTGTGAAATCAGTCTACATTCTTTTCACAAAGAAGAAAACAGTAAGGGAGGCACAAATGCCAAATTAATATGCAGCATAATAATGGCATATATAAATTAACATGTCAAATTAAACTTATTCTAAGTTTCATTTGATTATCATTTTTTCCAATTAAGTCTAGGCCAACATGTATAGAAATCAATGTTGCTAATTTGGTCATAAGCTCATAATTTTTTTTAAAAACCCTAATATTTGTCTTCGTATGCCAAGCTTAGGAAGATAAAACCCCTACTAGGAGCTAAACGGAGTCCTGGTTTATAAGAGAAGTACTCAACTGTAAGGTTGGTTGGAACCACACAGTCAGCAGTTCAAGCTCACCAGCTGCCCCTCGGAAACCCTATACAGGGTCACTATGAGTCGGAACAGACTCAATGGCACTTAACAACAGGAGCTAAAAAGAGAGGAAAATCCAGACATGTCTACTTGAGTTTATTCTCATTCTTTAAAAAAAAAGGAAAAAAAGTGGGGGTGGAGGGGAAAATAACCCCTAAACACTGTGAACAGGAACCAAGACTCCAAGTTTTGGGTGTAGTCCCTTTACCCCCAATCTCAGCTAAGAGATTCCCACCCACCCAATTTTCTTTTAAACACCCAAACCAGCAGCAAAGGTACCTGGGGTTGTCACTGAAAATTTGAACACTAGGAACGGAAGAGGGAAAGTCCAAAAGTAGGCATTGGGGGCAGAAAAAGAAGAAATAAGGGAAAGGCTAGACTCTGGAGGACAGTTAGGCAGCAAAAGGTAGAAGTGAGCCAGTATGGGGGTACCCCTCCTGACTGCTGCTGCCCACATCCCCCAGGACCCCAGAGAGCCCATGGTTTGTTCTGCAGTCCATTCCCTACTCCCTAAAGGCCTCACAGGCCGAGCTCCAAGTCCTCCAGCTCTTCCTCCAGTGCCCTCCTCCTTGCCAGCTTCTCTAGCTGCTCTTTGCTGGGCTGGCTGATCTCCCCAGCCTGGATCCGCTGTTGCAGCTCTTCGACTTGCCGCAGCTTCTTCTTCAGATTCTTTATCTTCCTGGCCTTTTCAGTGGTAGCAGCTGAGTCGGCCTGGTCAGAAGCAGCGGTAGGGACTGCGCAGAAGCCCTGTGGGGCACTAGGGAGTTGGGGCGTCTCTCCCAAGGACACCTTTTCAAGAGTCCGGCTCAAAGCCTCTGCCTCTCCCTTCTCTTGCTGTTGCCGCCTCTTCTCCTTTCGCTTCAGGTTGCGTTTGGCTGTCTTGGAGAGACCTGGTTCACCACCTTCAGGCCTGGATGGGGTGGTAGGAACAGTGGCTTCAGGACTCAGCCCTGGGGGCAGTTCTGGTTTACTCTTAAAAAACTTCACATATTTGTTTTCATACCTGAAGGAAACAGAAATGTCAATAAGTTTCAAAGAGTCACTGACTTGAGCCCCTAACTTTTCAAGCCCTAATCACATCCCACTTCCTTAGTCACTCATGGTCCAGCCCCAACTTTCCTGTTAGGCAGGCCATATTATAGAAGGGTCACTGAGACCAGAAGCGCTGGATCTGTGTTAGAACGGCGCTCCAGCTCTCCATCTCTGAACGCAATTTGGAAATTCTGAGGAACAGGCCATAGGAACAGGATTAACTATTTCCAACCTCACTCCAAAATCCCAGACCCCTGATAGTTGCCTCCCATTGTATTTCCTGAATGCCCAGGGGCATCTTCCCTGAATGCATAAGCACGCCCATTTTATCATTCTGTTAGGAGCCAATTAAGTAACCCCTCCAGAGGCCTAACCACGCACACTGGGACCTCCTCTTGCGGCACATAGCCTTCTTTCACCCTCCGCTGCTTCCGCCAAGTTCCGTCAGGTCGTTGTGTTGAGGCGATATACTTGCCTGGAATTAGAGAAATTAAGTTGGTGAGTTATTTCAAACATTTCCCAGTATCCAGCCCTCCATTATCCAACCATTAAAGCACCTTATAGCAACCCTTAATCTCTCTTCTATATTACTTAAAAAAAAAAAAAAAAGAAAATAGGCTCTATGGGGTAAAAATGGCATAATACACCATCCCTGCACTCAAAGAGCTTCAAGTTTTATAATTTAGTTGGTATAAGTCAGGAACAGAGGAAGAGTTAAAAACACAAGAAAACAGACTACTACATCAAAAGGCAGTAAATGTAGAAGAGGCTTTAAAAAGTAGGCAAAAACAACTACAAGAACAGAAATGACAAGGTACTTCATGGAAATGAGGAAATTTTATATAATGGAATTGGAAAAACAGGAAAACTTTAGGCCTGTTTCTATACTATGCTACCCTGGGGTTGTGTCGGTTAATGCGCTGGATCTCAAAGTCAGTTTGAACCAGAGGGTCCTCGGAAACCCTATACAGGATTGCTATGGGTCGGAATGGACTCAACGGCACTTAACATACAAGGATATTTGATGTTGCATTATTCAGAAAAAAACTGGAAAAACACTTGAATGGTTATCACTAGATGAATTAATAGATTTGGTTCACTCACACTTTTTAATAGCATGGTATTCCATTGTATGTGCTAGATTTAAACACACTTTTTTTTTTTTCCAAGAAAAAAAAAAACCTAATTAAAAGCAAAATGGGAAAGAAAACAAAACTTTCAAAACCAGAGTGTGCTGCCTTACTAAAAATGTCTAATGTAATTTAAAATATTGTTATCAAAGGGCAATGTAAATACAATCTATGAATTACAATCATTAACAGAAGTTGCTAAATGTGCAGGTACTTGTGGAAAGCAGTGAAGGAAAATCTTGGTAAGGACACAGCAAAGTGAGCAGGGGCTTTGGGAGTGAAGCTCCGAGAAATGCAGGACATTGGCCTAGGTCTGAGGAAGATGTCTGGTCTACTGTCTTGGTTCCAAGCATAAGAAAACAATTTTGGCAGGATTCGAGAAGAGGGCAATTCTGCAACCCTCAAAGCAAGTCTCTAGTTTCACTCGCAAGGAGGGTGTGCTTTCCAGACATTAACAAGGTCTCTTCAGGAGGATCTGCTTTCCAGCTTGTAGTGTAATGATACAGGAAACCAACGAAAATAGCACCCAAGGTGGGGAAAAACCAATATGACGAGCAACTTGTATATGTATTATTTTTCATAGTATCCTTGCCACTGTTTACAGTTTGAAGGTCACATGAATGGACGTCACCAACATAATATTGCTTTAGTGTTTCTCTGGCATCAAAGGAATGGCATCATCAAAACTTTTACTCGCAGCTGCACCAGCCTGTCCCAGCAGAACTTAGTTTCCTCTAGGATCTTCAAGGAAGCAGGCGGGTTCTTGTAGACTCCTCCGTGGATCACCAGCCATATTTCCTTGCAGGAATTGTGCTTCCCCACCTCCTCCTACCGGTAATAGGTGACAGAGGTCTCAAACTCTCTCCCCCTCTTTTCCATCGCTGCTGCTAGCTTCCACAGCAGTCATTGGGACAGAGATACCACCGCTATCTGGATTTCAGCAGCTAACTTCCTAAGGGCAAGCTGCAAGCTCAAAATGTTCTGACTTGAAATGCTGTTCATGATATACTAAGTGAAAAACAGAGGTGCAGAATCTGTAGAATAGTTATAACTTTTTGTGCCAGAACCCCCTTTACACTATTACTTTAGAATACTACGTCATTATGCAATATTTTAAAAATCAAATGTCAAGTATTAAAAAATCATTAAGTAATGGGAAGCTATCAAGTGTATACTTGCATATTGCCAGATACAAGTTTCCCAGAACTCAAGTTTCCAAGGTGGTAAGCAGATTGCCACATCTTTCACCCACAGAATAGCTGGTAGATTCGAACCACTGACCTTTCAGTTAGCAGTCCCATGCTTAATAGTTACTAATTTTGATCTGAAACTCAAACTTTATCATTGGTAATGTTAGTCGTTTACTGAATTGACAGGTTTGCTTCGTTTTCAGGAAAATATCTGTCAGATACCCAAGTCTGAGTTATGAGCCTGTTAGTTACTCAAGTAAAAATGGTGTTCCAAGAAAAGAGGCACTTGCTTAGCTTGCAAATCAGACAATCACACCGTGTTTTTCCTTCAGATAACCATCTTACTTTGGTATCTAGCAGACTGTTTCATGCTTATCATTTAGTCACAAACATTAAAAAAACATGTATCCCTTGGGACAACAATGTTCTGCAAGTAGATATGTGGACAGACACAGGCTGAATGGATGTTGAGGAGGAGTAGGATATATGTATATATTTCACAAATGTGAGTTTGAAAGAGGATATTGCCATATGGATATTTACCTTTCCTACAAACTATGACTGTGGTAGAGCATACAGTGGGCAAAATGATGAAAACTTATTAGATATCATCAGACATCTTAAGGCAATGAGTTGCTGGGCCTGGGAGCTCAGCGGATGCCATGGTCTACTGGCATACCACAGTCCACAAAAACGATTATATGAGCAATTGGTATGTTCCAGTTGGTGCCTGGCCTTGTTTTGGCAAATGATGTTGAGCTTTTCCACTGTCTCTTCCCACAGATGTAGCAAATTTGCCTGTGTATTCCATCTGGTGAGGTCCATATGTATAGTTGCCTTTTATGTTGTTTAAAACTGGTATTTGCAATGAATAAGTCATTGGTCTTAAAAAAAATTTCTATCATGCAGTCTCCAGCATCATTTCTATCACCACAGCTGTATTTTCCAACTACTCATTCTTCCTGTTTCCAGTCTTTGCATTCTTATCATAGATAGCACTGTACTTCAAGATCTTGAAGTCCTTTTTGATGAAAGCGATGCCATTCCTATTGAATTTATTTTCAACATAGTAAACCATATGATTGTCTGATTCAAAATGGCTAATTCCAGTCCATTTCAGTTCACTAATGCCTAGGATGTCAATTTTTTGAGTTCTGTTTCATTTTTGACAACTTCCAACTTTCCTAGATTCATACTTTGTACATTCCATGTTCCAATTATTAATGGGTATTTGCAGCTATTCCTCCTCCTTTTGAGTTGCTCCCCATCAACAAACGTTGGTCCTGAAAGCTTTACTCCATGATCAACTCTACTTTGGAGAGACAGCTCTTCCCTAGTCGTAGTCTGAGTACCTTCCAACCTCATCTTCTGGCACTATATATGACAATATCCCCCTGCTATTCCTAAAGTTTTCAGTGGCTAAACATTCAGAAGTGGTCCGCCTCTCCTCCTTTGTCTGGAAGCTCAGCTGAAACATGTCCACCACATGTGACCCTACTGGTTTTTATAAAATACTGGTTATGTACCTTCCAGCATCACAGCAACACACAAGCCACCACTGGACAACAAACTGGCCGACAAGTGGTGGGAGGAAGAGAAGGTGGGAGGAACCATTAACTTTTTTTAAAAATCTCTTTTGTATAATGTAAAAAGCAGAGGTTTTAAAGGTAAAATTTCTAAAGCCTCCCACATGAATTAAATATTTGTTAAATACTGGTTAAATATTAAATAAATTGGTTTTTTATTCACACTGTAAATCATTTTTTAAATATATCAAAGGAAATTAATAAAATTTAACAGATGGATGGGAGAAAAATGAAAAAGCATAAAAAGTACTAAAATATTTTTTAAAAAGTCTGAATGTGGAAGTGACACATGGAGAATTTAGAAAACAAAGAAGGTTACAGGTGAATCAGACAGTTTGTGTTAGGAAATAGTAAGTTAGGTGTAATGACCCAAAAAAGAAAATGGAACCAGATTTTAGAAAACCTTCAGAAACATGGTCAAGAATTTTGGACTTTATCTGGTGAATAAAGAGTGCCACTAAGGATATTTTTCATCTAGCTACAATAGGCTTTGGATTTATAAAAGACCAAGATTCTACCCTTTTACTGCAAAGGGCTTATAGTCTAGTTGAAACAGGAAATACACAGTCAAATATATAAAGGTTGCATATGTTAAATGGCAAATGAGGCAAAGTGACAAAATGTGGTACCTGAGTATAAAGGCAGAGTAAAAACATCAATGAATGGAAAAACAGAGGCTTTATGGAGGAGGACAGGGATTAGAGGACTATGAAAAAAGGGCCAAACGAAAGTAAATGAAAAGGGGGGCAAAAAGAATTCTAAATTAAACTTCTTAACTGGCATTCAAAGTCTGATCATTCATAGAAGTTCATTTTAAAACATTCTAAAAAATTCAGTCATGCCATATATGGGAGACAGTGAATGAAGTACTCTGGCTGGGCCAGAGGACTCACTGGTATAAAGCAATGAAGGAGAATGATCAGACTTTGAATGCCAGTTAAGAAGTTTAATATCTGGCTCATGAAATGCATTCAGTAAGTGTTCGTCAAAATAATAAACCCTTTATTCAAAGCAGTGTTCTAGAGCAATTAATCTGGCATAATGAGAAGGCAATTTGAAAAGGGAAAACATTGGAGACAGGGGAAACTAGCAAGGAAAAAAGATTGCAATAATTCTGGCATAAAACAACAGAATGGACTGAGACAGTGAGAATGGAAAAGTGATGGTGCCAGGTAAATTACCAAAGAAAACCACTCAGAATTCACTCACTGAGGGGAAGGCTCAAAGTAGCAGAAGTAGAAGATAATTCAACACTCTTTGTTTTAGTAGACAAATTTTGAGAGTTTAGCATAAGAAAATAGTTCCAACAAGAAAAAAAAGAGGGAGAGAGAATCATGTGATAATTATGACATTATCTACTGATAGCTAAAAATTATATCCAATTCTGTAAGAATGGCTAAATATATACAGTATATCCATTTTAAATGATAATACTGTGTTGGGGTGATAAAATTATAAATATTTTAATAATTCTCACTAATGTTATATTATGGATTTTTAAAATGTGTAATTTTAGGTTTTAATTCTGAACAATTTGGAGAATGACAGATGTAAAGGAGAGTGAATTAC